GGGTGGTCTGTCACACAGTGCGGGTTACTTGAAGAGGCTCTGGCTGCAGCTCATTCTCTGCTGCACTCAGTGCAGTACCAGCTCTCAGGAAGTAACACAGCTGTTCCTGTTGTGATTGCCTCTCCTTCTCATCTTCTTCCACCCAGGGAGCAGAGAGAAGACTGTTCCTCATTTGATTTCATCAGGCAGGAAGGCTTGACAGCTCAGCCCATCTCAACGTCTGCTGGTGCCCAAAGGATCCCAGGAGCAGTATCTGAGGAGGTACCTGAAAGACTCCTGCAGCAGTGAGAGCCTGTACTACAGCAAATTAGTCACACAGCAATCATCTCCTGAGGCAAGGGAAATAAATAGAAATTTAAAAATTTTTGTTACCTTTCATTACTGAGATTTTCTCCACTGCATATACCTGCATTCATGGAATGTTTTTTCAGTTTGGTTTTGTTTGGCTTTTTTTTAGAGAAAATGTTTGCAGCCTATTTTGATTGCCCAGGAGGCCCAGAAAATCTCTATATGAAAGAAGTGATGAAACCAAATCCAGGAGAAGGAGAAGTTCTTGTAAAGGTCTCTGCCAGTGCTCTGAATAGGGCTGATTTACTCCAGGTATGTGTATATTAAACAGATTTATGCACCTAAAAACATCACAGATTTTTCAAGCCCCTCTGTGAAATCTTGACAGATCTGATGAGCTGAAAGAGTTTGAACCTGGTGAGCATTTGGATGGGAGAGTTCATAGGGCTGAGAAGAGATATCTGTTGATTCAGCAGATAAATGTTTTTATCTGCATTAGTGCAGTGCTGGGCTGGCGTGGAAAGGCAGCTGCCTTTCAACAAAACGTGTAAAACCAAAGTTCCAGTCTTTTTAGATCTTAGACCCTTTTCTGGACATTTGAGATGAAAAGGAAATGTTCCAATGGCACAGTTCCAGTGGGGGAAAATTTATTCAAATTCACATTCAAATTATTTATTTGAGCTGCAAGCCATGCTCTGCAAATGGAGACCATAGTATCTCCAGAGCAGGGATTAGCCCTGAGAGAGGGAACTCACAAATATTTCAATTTATTCTGACTTACGAAGAATAACACTTAGGAAGCAAAAGTGTTTCCAGAGGCTAGAAGATCCTCAAATTACTGCAACATATGCACAGGGCCAAATCAGGATTAAACAAATAGGAATTTAGGCTGGAGACATGTGAATGAAATAATGCAGGTCATTGATGGTTTTTCCTTCTTTGCCTTCTCTTTTTTTTTATTTTATTTTTTTTATTTTAGAGGAGAGGGAAGTACCCTCCCCCCAAAGGAGCAAGTGACATTTTAGGCCTGGAAGCAGCTGGGAGCGTGGCTGGGCTGGGTCCCGGCTGCTCGGGCCGGTGGCAGATCGGCGATGCAGTGATGGCTCTGCTCCCCGGGGGAGGCCAGGCACAATACGTGACAGTGCCCGAAGGCCTCCTGATGCCAATTCCCAAAGATATGACTTTTCTTCAGGCTGCAGCCATTCCTGAAGCCTGGCTAACAGCATTTCAGCTGCTCCATTTTGTAGGTGAGAGGTGCATTTGCCCATTTACCCCACCAAAACAGCTCATCTTTCTGTTACAAAATCCTCTCCTTGTAGCCTCTATTTGAATGTTGTTTGCCTTCAAAGAACCTTTTCTCTGTCACTTTGTTCTTGTGGGTGAGAATCCAGTATGCCAGACACAAATCCTTGAATCATGACCACCTCTCCCCAGTGCCAACCTACCCTGCTCATTATGTATTTACAAGGAAGGATATAGAAAGATGGTCAATTTCTTTTTGTCTGTATTTCTCAGTTTGAATCACTGGATGGTTTGGGTTGAAAAGGAATTAGGTGATCTAGTTCCACTCCCTTGCCATGGATGGGAACACCTTCCATTAAGCCTAAACCCTGAAATTATTCCCACCTTTTCCAGACACCTGAAAACACATCTTACTTCTAAGGATCTGGCTTCACTGCATGCATGACCATACCAAGAATTTTATCACTAGTTGCTTGTGAATCTACAGTAGCCAACGTCTTCTACCTTTGTTTAAGAAAGATATTATTTGTGGGTAAAATCCACTCTGAGCTGATTTAAAGTAGACAGAAGCCCACACTCTTAATTTTAAAAATACACTGCCAAGGTAATAAACAATAGCACTTGCCAAGGTTTTCCTTTGATGAGAAATATCCTTCTACACTCTTCAGCAGTAGCATCTAAGAGATCCAACAAGGAGCAAAAGTTCCAAACATAACTTCCCTGCAGATTTGCTTCAAGCAATGCTGTTTCCTGGTGATCAGTGGGAGCCTACCTGGTGCCTCACTTGCAGAAGCAAGTGGTGAAACACAAATTAATGACACCAATAGATGGTAAAATGATTGGTAGGACTGGTCTTTAATGGTTACCCAGCATTTCTGCTATTTCTCCATTGCTGAGTGCATAATTTCTCAGTATGAACATCCTCCAAGTGTGTTTTCTACTGATGGTATAAAAGGGCTGTGACTACCCTCACTTAAACATCTTGGTCACTGATGCCCAGAATAGCACACGGCCAAGACAAAGTCCTTCCACTGAAGCCATCCTGTCAGCACACTGCAACCTCTGCTGCTTTCTCTCTTTTATGAAGGCTATGAAGATGTCCAATTGTCCAAAGTCCAGTTAAGGCCATCTCTTTCAACCTCCTCTTTGCTATCTTCCAGACTATTCATATTTTAATTCAAAGGTGATTCCCAAAGGGTGACCACTTTCCTTCTGCCCTCCTCCAGGTAAAGTACAGGAGGGTGAGAGAGTGTTGATCCACGCTGGAGCCAGCGGGGTTGGCATGGCAGCCATTCAGCTGGTGAGGCTGGCAAAGGCTATTCCCATTGTCACAGCAGGAACTCAGGAGAAACTGGAAGCAACAGCAAATGCTGGAGCAGCTGCAGGGTTCAACTACAACAATGAAGACTTCAGTGAAAAGGTCTTGGAGTTCACCCAAGGTAAAAACCTCTCTATGAAAGTGCGAATGGACCTCCCAACATGTGAACACACACTCAGTTTCAGCTGTCACCTGGTGAGGGAGCAGACAGTAGTGACCCTGGAAGTACAACCTGACATCCTGCTCAGCCCAGAATGGGCCTTTCCTTAGTTTAATTGTGCTGTTTTCTGCATGGGGTCTCTCTGGCTGTGTTCATTTGGGGCATAAATATTGCAACATGTTATTGCTGCCCCCCAAGGAACTGTGGGACAAAATCCTTGCATTTTGGTGTTTGAATCATCACAGAAGCACAGCATGGCCTGAGTTGGAAAGGACTTTAAAGATCATCCCGTTCCAACCCCCAGCCATGGGCAGGGACACCCCAGCTTGCTCTGATCTCCATCCAACCTGCCTTGAACATTTCCAGGGGTGGGGAACCTACAGCTTCTCTGGGCAACCTGTGCCAGTGCCACTTAATTCTTAAACTGTTAGAAAAATGTAGCTTTTCTAAGCATTTCGGGTGGCTTAATTCTGAGTTTGCTTATTTGTAACTGATGATTCTTCTTCTGTGCCTGATTCTGTAATTCTTTACAAATCACTGTGCCAATTCCTAATTTCAGTAGAAAGATTTAAATAAGAATTGCAGGGCCAATTCTGTACCTATAAATAAGAAGGTTTTAGTCTTGCTTGAAATTATCCTACCCTTAATGCAGCTTGATGTCATTGCTGAAATCTCTTCTGTTTCTACTTGAGGTTCTGGAGTAGACATCATTTTAGATTGTGTTGGGGCCTCATACTGGGAGAAGAATCTCAACTGTCTGAGTACTGATGGCCGGTGGATTATCTATGGACTGCTGAGTGGAGGTGAAGTCCATGGGGATTTGCTGGCAAGGCTGATTTCCAAAAGAGCCAGCATCCACACGAGCCTGTTACGGTCCCGAGACAAGGAGGCAAGTAGTGACTGTCAGCAGTGTATGCGGTTTGATCTTAAAATTTAGGATCATTTTGAGAGCTTTCTTTTAAAACCAGTGTTAAACACATTTTTGTCATAAAGCCCCACCTTGAACTACATACTTAGGACAATGTCACAAAATTAGGTTGTAATTTTTTTTTCCCCATTTTTATGAAATTCCTCCCTGAATGAGAGGAATAACACCCAGGACTTCTTGATGTGCTTCATGGATACCATCCTTTAGATATTTGGCCCTAGAAGAAATAAAACTCCAGTGATTGGGCAACTTGATAAAGTCTGAGGAGGGAAAAATAACAATCTCTATTAGGTCACTTCAAAGTAGAAACCAAGACCATTTGGATGCCCAGTTACCAAAGAAAACTCATTTCATGTGGAATACTCTCAGATGTGACAGTAAAAGACCTGCAGTGCAGAGCCCTAAGGTGGATTCCATGCATGGTTTAAGGCAGAATATTTACAAGACCTTTATCAGTTTGATTTAAATGGTCCTGCACAGCTCACACCGCTTGCTTTGGGGAATTTAATTCAATTATGTAATAAATCTAAAATCTTTCTTCTTGTTTATAATTTAGACCCGCCAGGTGTTTTTATCTCCGTTTCACTGTGAGAATGTCAGAAGGTGTCTCCCTGAGGGCTGTGTACCTTTTACACGCCGTGCTGTGAGACACCCGGGTGAGTGAACGATATAACAATAACTTTGCAGGTGTTTTTTCCGCAGTACAAGGAGCGGCTGGTCAGAGCCTTCACCGAGCAGGCGCTGCCCCATTTCTGCGGAGGGGCTGCCCCGCGCCTGCGGCCCGTGCTGGACAGCGTCTACCCCCTGCACGCCATCGCCGAGGCACACAGGGCTATGGAGGAAAACAGGAACATCGGCAAAATCGCCATCGAAATTCCCGTTTGCGTCAAGAAAGCGCCGCCGCAGTAGCCGCGGCGGGACAGTCACTGCGGGGGCTGCACCGGGACCGATTCGTGGGCGTGGCGAGGAGGGGGAAAGGAAAAGGAGGAAGCGTTTATTAAAGAGGTTCCTGTCGCAATTCTGGCACTGAGCATCGAACGTACGGGGGCGCGCCGGGCCGGGCCGGGCCTGAGGGGCGGGAACGGGGGTTAAATAGGGGGCGGGACCGGGAGCGAGGTCACGTCCCGGGCTGGATCCGGTTCCGTGAGGAGCGCGCGGAGCCTGCTGGGAGAGACCCGGGTGTGCCGCTGCCGCTCCCGGCCCGCCGCTGCCTCTGCCCCGGGCTCGGTCCGCGCTGCTGTTTCTGCTCGGGGTTCGGTCACCGCCGCTGTTTCTGCTCGGGGTTCGGTCCCCCCGCTGTCTCCGCCCCAGCCTCCTTCCCTGCCGCTGTCTCCGCTCCAGGCTCGGTCCCCGCCGCTGTCTCCGCCCCAGCCTCCTTCCCTGCCGGTGTTTCCGCCTCAGGCCGCGGCCCCGCTCTCCTCCCGCCGCCATGGCGATGCAAGCAGCCAAACGAGCCAACGTGAGTGTTCCGCCCCGTCCCGCCCCGTCCCGTCCCCGCCGGGCTCCGTCCCGCTCCCGCACGCCGCGGCTCGGACGGTTCCCGTCCATTCCGTGTTTCACACATTCCCTGGTTTGCCCCCTGGGTTTAAGGTTTGCAGGACGTGCGCCTAACACACCGCCTGTTCTTCCCCCATCAGATCCGGCTCCCTCCGGAGGTCAACCGGATCCTGTACATCAGGAACCTGCCGTACAAAATCACGGCCGAGGAGATGTACGACATTTTTGGGAAGTACGGGCCCATCCGGCAGATCAGAGTGTGAGTATTTCCAGTTCCTTTGGACCATGAAGGGTTTCACAGCTGGAAAGGTTCAATGCCCTGGAGCCCCGAGTGCCAGAGGGGGATGTGATGATGCTCTTAACACGTGAATTTCTTAGTAAATGATTCTGCTGGGAGATGCGGAGAATGAACTTAAATTTGAAATTAACTTGGTTGGGGAAGTTGATAAAACATGAGAGACTTGTTTGCTTAAATAAGTTTCAAATGCAATTAGAGTTTTACCTTGACTTGGGGTGAAAATAGGAAAGGCAGAAGCTGAGCACAAACAGTTTTCTTGTTTTGTGAGTATCTGCTAGCCAGTGGGAAAACAGGGATATTGCTGCTGCTGCTGCATCTGTTCACTAGAAACAAATGCCAGCAGCAAGCCCTGAGTGGCAGAGACAGGATGTCCTCCGGCCAAACTGTCTGGGAAGTGGAGGTTGTGACTGTGCCTTTGGTTCTAAAATGCGTGGAGATTGTACAAATTTGCAGCAACTCTGATGTTCTTCTGCTGGTTAGTTCAAATGCTGAGGACCTGAGCTTTGGCCAGCATAGGAGGGTTTGTGTTGGAAGGGACCGTAAAGACCATTTTGTTCCAACCCCCTGCAGTGGGCAGGGACACATTCCAGCTGGCCAGGTGCTCTGGGCCCCATCCAACCTGGCCATGAACATTCTAGGGATGGAGCATCCACAGCTTCCCTGGGTATCTGCAACATTGATTGTTGTGTAGGGTGAAGTGAGTTTTACAGAGTTGCCCTCAGTAAGCAAAGGACACCAAGGGGACACGTGCTGCTGGTGCCATGCTGGGATGTGACACCATCACCTTCTCGAGCAAGGAAGGGCAGTGAATGTGACTGGAGAAGTGGCTGAGGGAACGAGGGGCAGTGTAAACACTGCCTGGCTAAATAGATGGAATTTTTTACTAATGAGCATAAAGGAGAGCCAGTACTTAAGTTTTCTGGAAACATGTGGGCTGGAACAGCATGACAGTGGGACACAGAATTAGGACATATCTGGGGCTTTCCACTGGAGTGATGCACTGGTGTGTGCTTTCAGCAGTTTGTTCAGAGCTACTAATTCATGTAATTTCCCACAGAAATCCCAACATTGTCAGTGCCAGGGCATAACGTGTAAGCCCCTTTGTAAAGGCTTTTGTGCTTTGTGCAGTGTTAATCCCGTTCTCCTCCTCATTTTGCACAGATCCCAGTGTGGATATGTGTGATACCATTTGTCCTCAGGAGTTCTCAGAAGCACCTTAGGAAGTTGCTCTGACTGTGAAGTCTCTGTCACCGTCTGTTAGCTGAGACCTCTGGGATCTCTGCAGCCCCTCTGGGCTCTTTACTGTTACGTGCCCAGACGTGTGTCCCATTCCTCAGGCAAAGGACATGGAACTGGTGCTCCTGTGGGTGATGGCTGTTTCTCAGCAGTGGGCTTGCACCACTGGGGCTGTTCTGCCTCTTAAATTGACTTTGTGATATGCCAGGAGCCCTGCTGCATCCTAGGGACACATCTGATACAGACAGCCACTAACTGACAGCCAAGTTTTGCAATATTAAATAAAAGCTCATTGCTATAATAAAGATTTAAATTATTTCCAGACACAGCATGGCAGCCCTGACAAAAGCTTCAACAACCCAATTGTTCTCGAGAGGTGCATTTCCCTTATGGAGCAAAATAGAGCACATTTTTTCCTGTTGTCTCTGGCTCTGAACTGTTTGGTGTGGAAAACAGGGATGTCGTTTAATACCTAGAAGAAATAACAAATTGTTTTTTAGTGATGTTGCATTGGTTCATCTAATCTCAGTCACTGTGAAATAATAAACTATTTCTTGTTCATTTTATCTTGATTGTGCCCTTGCTGTGCAGTGGGAACACCCCTGAGACCAGAGGAACAGCCTACGTGGTCTATGAGGACATCTTTGACGCCAAGAACGCCTGCGACCACCTGTCGGGGTTCAACGTGTGCAACAGATACCTCGTGGTTCTGTACTACAACGCCAACAGGGTACGGCACTGGGCTGGGGGAGTCACCTCTGAGCAGAGCTGGCACAAACAACAACCCCAGCAGCAGTTTGTAAAGACCATTACTTGGGTATTTTTAAGAAATAAAGTACAAACTGTTAGAGGGAGTAAATGGGATACATGGTCAGAGTTTCGTATTGGTGGTTTGTGTGCAAAAAAAGTAACTTTGGACAAATGGTAGGAAAAATGTGTTTGTGGGGGGTGTACTCTGGAGAAGAGGGTGCAGAGGCCCCACAATTGCACAGCTGCAGCAGGAGGGGAGATCTTGTTTATGGGTAAAAGGTCTCCAGTTCTCTGTGTCCACTCTGTCACCAACAACATCCAGGGCCCTGTGACATTCTCCAAGGACAAGAATCAAACAATGCTCTGTGTGTCTGATGGTGAACTCCATCTGCTTGTTGCAGATACTGGGAAGTAATTTGTCATGAGATGAGAGATTTCTTCTGTCTTCTTACGTCTTTTATTTTCCTAATTACAGGCATTCCAAAAGATGGACACAAAGAAGAAAGAAGAACAGCTTAAGCTTCTCAAGGAAAAATATGGAATTAACACAGACCCACCAAAATAAACTGATCCTTTTTGGAAAACTCTTTTCAAGCCCTGTTGTGGAGTTCTTGGCCTAAACATAGGAATTCTTAACAAAGTATAATTTTTTTTTTCTCTTATAAATCTGATAAAATGCAATATGAGTTTTTATATCTTCAGATTAGGAATAAATAAATGTAGAAGACAGGGAGATCTGCTTTAAAATTAAATCCCCCAAGGCGACAGCTTCTCTGTGCTGAGGGTGACCTGGTAAAGGCTGCTGTGTCCTGTTTCTAGCAGGAGCTTTCAAGAGGGGACTGAGCAGGTTCTGTGTTTGACTGGACATCGCAAGCCCGAGCCCATGTTTGTAACAAAGTTTCACAAACTGTAGAAGATGAACGGCTTTCACAAGGATCCAGCTCATAAAGGGACTCATTCCAAGCACCTTGTTCCCAGTAATGGTACCAGCTCTGATGAGCTGCAGTGAAACAACCCAGCTCTCACGCTACAAAACAAAAAAGTGTATGGGGGATTTGTTTTGTGTCCCAGGTTTGGACTGAGGATTTGGTATGAATGGAAGAACACATGACCAAAATGAGACAGTAGATGAAGGATTTCGTTTTGATACCTGTAGTGTGATTGTTTTCTACTTGGCACGGTTGAACTATAACACATTTTCTGTATGTACATTTTTAGGTGTAGCATGTGGTGGAGGAAAAACAAATTTACATTTCTTGGCTCTTTTTTTCAGTACTCATGTCCTGTGTATAAAAATCAGTGTGATCCAGGATGTGCATAGCCAGTATCTTTTGGAAGTGGGAAGGAATAACCTCTGCCTGTGTTCTGAACCAGCTGGAAGTTGTGGGTAGTATCCTGCCTTGGGAGGATTTATTTGCATGGATGGGATGTTCCACTCCCTGACAAGACAACTTCCAGCCAGTGCAGAACCAGGGCAGGTAACAATATACTTTGTCTGAAATTTGTCATTCAGTTTTGTTTTTCAGTGCATTGTACTGTCATAGAGGAATGCTTCCATTTTCTGAAATACTTTTTTGTTGGAATTTGTCGCTTCAAGAACAACACTGTGTCCATTTGGTGAAAAAATAAATGTCTGCATATTTTGCTTTTTTTCATCAAGGCTGGCTTCAAGCTGTGCTCCTCCTGCCTGTAACCTCTTTGTGTAACTGTAACCTGCAGCATTTGATGCGGGCAGGAGCTGCAGCACATCCATCCCTGTGGGTACAGGGGTGTCCCTGTGTGTGACAGGAGGGTGCCCAGCTGTGGGAACAGTGCCCACATCTCACCTGGAGGAGATCCCTGGCAGCTGCTCTGTGCTGGCATCTTGTTTGGCAGCTGGAAGGGGCTCACAGCAACACTCACATTTACTAGCTGGAGCCAATGAGAAACTAAACACTTGTCATATTGCACTAAATGGTCCTATTTTCTTAATTCCTCAAATAAATTATTACAAATTAATAAATCAGATGCTAAAAAGTTCAGTAATGGCTCATGAAGAGTGAGCTCCAAGCCAGCTCAGGGAAAGCAGCCACCATGGCTGAGGTGGGATTTCAGCTTTGGGTGGGTGCTTGGAGTCCTATCCTGTGCCTGACCCTGGAGCAGATCTGCCCTGCCTTCCCTTGTACAGGCACTGGGGCTGTGAGCCAGAACCATGCTTAGTGCACAGTTGCCCCAAATCTGCATCTGTCCCTTGAAACATGCTGGTTTTGCAGGCTGCAGTAACCCCGGCTGAGGTCAGGAGCAGGCACTGGGACACCTGGAGCCCAGACTGGGTTAGGGGAGCGGTGCCTCCACGGCCAGCCTGGCTTCCAGGTCTGCCCATCAGATTAGCACAAACCAAGAGCTCTCAGGCAAGAACTGGGTTGCATTAGAAATCTTTAAATGAATTAAATTCTGCTGGGGGATTTGTTCTAGGTGAGCATCCATAGCTTTTTAAGGGTTACAAACTGCTCTGCCCCAAATATGTATCTTTTATAGATATAAATATATATATTTTTATGTGCCATGTGTATACATATACATCCAGGTACCAAACATTTGGATAACTGAAATCATTTACACCAACTGCTGGGCATTGAGAAGGCTCCTTGCTGAAACGGGGACTGGAGGTGCTTGTTGCCATGATGGATTTATGGGTCTAATAAATAATGAACACTGATAATAAATACCAGAGTACCAATAATGTTTTAGATCATATGCAAATACCACATTGCTTCTGTCAATAGCAGAGAGCATGGTGCTTGCACTGCAGTGTCTGTTTTGATGAGGATTTGATGCTGTTTGAAAAACATATATAAAAAGCAATTCTTTAGGGTAATAAGATTAATAAAAATTCCTTCAATGAATCCTCAGGATCAGCAGCTTTTGATTTCTCTGAGAGCTCAGCTGCCGCCTTTCATTAAATATTCCATTTCATAGTTTTTCTTCCAGTGCCTTTTCAGGGCTTTCAGTGTCCCTGCACATGTAAAATGAAATAATAATTTGTACCTGCAAGACAGGGAGAATGGAAATGGAATGCCCAGAGGACTGTTTTGATGAGATCTACTCAAGATTTTGTTTGAAATGTAATATCAAAGAACAGGGAAATGAGTTCAGCTCATGAATGGCAGAGGGGCAGCAAATAAAGCAGATGTTACCAGCCTTGCACTCTGCATCTGTGCTGGTTTTGTGTGTGCTCACTTCCCGTTTAATTTTTCAAGAAGTAGGGCATGAAATTAAGACTTGAAGGTCATTTTTTCCCCATTGAATCTGTTTAGAAATTAGTAACAAGAGTATATCTGATTACGCAGGCAATGACAGTAAATTTTTTCCAATCTATTCTGTAGGGGTAATAATTATATGTACTGTGCTGATCGATGATACAATTAAATAAATTAACGCATTTGCAGTCGAATAAAGAGCTGAAGATTACATTTCCTTGAAGACTTAATTTCCCTAAGTATCACAAAGCACAATTAGTTTTCCTTTCAGATTTTTTATTTTTAATGAAATTGGCATGAAAAATGTAATAGTCCCTGTTTCCAACCAAGGTCTCTGCAGAGGAGGCGATGAAGGAGAGTTTCATCAGCCAGCTGTAATAAAGATTTTACAGAGTGGGTATTGGCAGGTTTGTGCTGGGGGGGCAGAAGGGAAGAGCACAGTGGCAGCACTGCAGATAGAGGTAATAAGATCAAGTATGATCAGCCCTCAGAGCCCAGCAGGAACGTGCTGGGTTTCCCTGGTGAGAAACCCACGGGAGCAGAAGGGCAGAGCCATGCCCTGCCCATTGCCTCAGATGCAGCAGAAGCTCCCAAGAGCAAGGCCAGGAGGGAGGGGATGGAGGGAGCACGAGGCCATTCCAGGGTCACTCACACAATCCTTGGCATTGCCATTTGCTGTTGGGACATTCAGGAAGGGGCCTAAAGCAGGTGCTGGTCTCTGGTGAGACCCCACCTGCATCCAGCTCTGGGGTCCCAGCACAGGGAGGATGTGGACCTGTTGGAGCAAGTTAAGAGGAGGGACACCAGGATGATCAGAGGGATGGAGCACCTCTTCCATGAGGAAAGGCTGGGAGAATTGGCATTGTTCAGCATGGGAAAGTGAAGCTTCGGGGTGACCTAACTGTGGTCTTCCAGTACTGAAGAGAGCTGACAAGAAAGATGCAGAGACTATTTACAAGGACATGGAGTGACAGGACAAGGGGGAATGGCTTCAAACTAGCAAAAGGCAGGGTTAGATCATAGATGAGGAGAAAAATTCTTTACTGTGAGGGGTGGTGAGACACTGGCAAAGGTTCCCCACAGAGGCTGTGGATGTTCCATCCCTGGGAGTGTTCAAGGCCAGGCTGCATGGGGCTTTGAATGACCCGGTTTAATGGAAGGACCTTAAATTATCTTTAAGGTCCCTTCCAATCCAAACCATCCTGTGATTCTATCACACTTCAGGTTTTTTTTTTCTATTTTTTAAACAAGCAATTAATTTAAACTGGGCCATTGATAGGAACAGCTTAGACCAATGTGCTGGATCAAACTGTGCTTGACAGGCACAACAGAACCACACCACCTTTAACCAAGACTTTGGGAAGTGTAATCTGTGACCCAGTGGTGAAAGGAAGGCTGGGGACAGAGGCCAGGGCAGTGGCAATAGAGAGCAGGACCTTTTCAAATTATTTGGAAAAGCTGGTGGACATCAGATCCTGATAGATCCAATCACCAATTTTTAACAGGAAATCAGTGCCCTTAATAAAAGGACTATTAGCGGAGGTGTAACCCAGCTGCTGCAGTGACCTGAGATTTCCACCAAAAAAAGTGTTCTGAAAATCCCTTCATTCCTTTATGGACATTACTCAGTGTATAAAAATCCCTAAGATATGGATTTATAAGTTTATTAATTAACAAGCTGAAATAAATGCAGCTCTGTGGGTAAAATGAACATCTGGAGAGAGAAGACCATGAGCCATGGTCCCTGGCCAGATCACCAGCCTTTTCTCTGTGCTCATTCTCCCAACTCTAGGAGGTGTCACCTGGGGTCATCTCTATAGCTTTGCTGTCTGACTGCTCGTGCTGGGAGTGTTCTCCTTTACACACATATAGAAACAGCACAACTGTTTGAAATACGACTATCAAAACATCTGTTAGTAGAAAACCATGCAAATAGTTTATAGTCAAGTTAAATAAATGTAACATCACGACCCTGGTTTTCTACAGCAAAGAAGAAAAATGAGCCTAATGGAAAGAAATCAGACAAGGCAAAATAACAGCACAGAGAAAGGTCCTGCTCCCAAATCCAGGTAAGTAACAGCCAACACATCTTCCTGCCTCCAGAGGAGAAAGCAGCATTTCATGAATTCATATAAGCAGCAAATGAAATAAACATTGCTGGGTCTCAAGTGCCAGAGGCCCAGTGCACACAGTCAGCTTCCAGGCTTTGTAAACAGCAGCAGCTGCTACAGCCTAAAAACCTTGGAGTGCTCAGCCACATCATCCCACAGCTCAGTTTTCTTTTGAATGGTGGATGTACATAATCCTGCTCTTTTCTAGTCTTGCTCAGCTCCAACAGAAAATATTACACTAGTTTTACTGTTGCAAAGGCACAGAATTAGACCAGCACTGCATGTCATTGACAAGTAGCACTTTCTATCTCTTCATCAGCCAAATTTTGGCCAGAGTTGAGGGGCCATAGAGGCAGGGGAAATGGAGAGTCAGGAAAACTGTCCCAGCACCCCTTACTTGCATATCCCTTCTACCTCTTGTCCCACAGAGATCTTCCACTGGGCCATCTCTAACAGAAGCAGTGCATAGAGCTACATGTATTTCATTTAAGAGAAATTATTAACAAAAAATGGATTGATGATTGAAGAACTTCTTGTACGGTAAAGAGCATCTCGGTAGACAGAAGAGAAAAACAGGATGAGAAATTATAAAGTATCAAGCTTTTATTGTTTTATTTATATACTTGTAATTCTTAAATGAGACAGTATTTTTTTAAAACAGCAGCAAGCAGAACATACAAGTTGAGAAAAGTGGCAGCGCAGGTAACTCTGTTTGGCTAATGCCCGTTCATGTACAAGGTGTACATTGGATTTTTTTCTTTTGAGCACCTTTTGTGGTTATTTTTTCTTGATTTAAGTGTACAGTAAGGCAGTGGTTTTTTTCAATAAGGAATATATATCTATATATATTTATATTTATATATATTTTCAGTCATCACCGTGAAATCTTCGTACATGCAAATTCAATAAAATGTACAACTCAGAAATGTAACACCGGGAGACATTTTTCCTCAGAGCAAAGCTTCTAATAAAAGGCAAATACGGACACCACAAAGTTATAAAAGAGAAGGAAGGCCTAGGAAACTGAGGACAGCTTGAGCAGGGAAGGTTGGGATCCAGTGAAGATCCCTCCCGCCGCTGGCATGGCAGGAAGGAAGGGATGGTTATTAACAGATGTCTCCAGCCAACTCCCTCGGGACGGTTCACTCTAACCTGAGAAGCTCCACATCAAAGAGGAGTGTGGCATTGGGAGGTATGACCCCAGGGTGGCCTGTGGCTCCATAGGCCATCTCAGGTGTGCAGGTCAACTTTGCTCTTTGTCCTAAGCTCATCTGCGTTTTGAACATTGGAGAAAGGAAAAGAGAACACA